AAAAACAGAATAACCAATCCTATAATCCTCCTCAGGGAATGAAGGAGAGATCCTTAAAATGATGTGGCAAGGGCCAGAGAGATAGCTCAGCTGCCTAAGCGCCTGCCTGGAAAGCTCAAAAACCTGGGTTGATCCCTGGTACCACATGCTGTGCCAGCCCCATAGTGTGCCAGCCCCATGCTGTGCCAGCCACTGAAACCAGGCATGGCGGTACATGCCTATAATCCCAATGCTGGAGCGGCTGAGACAGGAGGATCACTGAGTCCAAGCTGCATGGCAAGACCTTGTACCAGATACATAAATAAAAGATTTTTTAAATGATTTGGCAGTAATATAATGAGACTGATTTTTAATATTTCCTTTTTATTCTTTTGTATGTTTTTAAATTTTTAGCTCACAACATGCTTTGCTTGTTTGGTTGGTTCACTGCTTGGTTGGTTGGTTGTTTGGTTGCTTGGTTGCTTGGTTGCTTGGTTGCTTGGTTGCTTGGTTGCTTGGTTGATGATTGATTGATTGACTGATTTAAGATAGGATCTTGCTTGTAGTTCAGGATGGCCTTGGAGTCACAGTGATCCTCCTGCCTTAACTACCCAAGTACTAGGAGTACCCAGCTTCAGCATGCATTTTTATAACCAGAGGAGAAGCAGTAAATACAGGACTCAAAGTAGAAAGAAAAAGAATTGCAATGTTGTACAATCGCATAATTCTCCACAGTTGATAAAGAAAGTTTCATACCTGTGAATTTATTGTCTCTACCCATCTTTACTTTTCCCTCGGCATTCTGTCCCTCTCCCTTTCCTTTTATCTTTCTCCCTTCCTCTCTCCCTCTCTCTCACTTTCTCCCTCTTTCTTGCTTTCCAGGGTTGGTGAGCACTTGCTAGATGAGCTCTCTACTCCTGAGCTACACCCCTGTCCCTCACACTTATTCACTAATTCTCTTTTCCTATGCTCAAATGTAAAGTATCTTAAAACTATTTCCAGACTTTTAAGAAAAGCCTGATTATCAGCATCAAGCCTGTCTAATGGCATCTAACCAGGAGCTCATCCTGCATACCAAAACCTAGAGCTATGTGTCCTAGCCCATCGGTGAAAAAGAGAATCCAGACACACGACAAATGTTAAGACTGACAGATGCATTACTCGGTTTGAGCTGCCATACCCCAAGACCAGACTGGATGGCTTAGACAAGAGAAATTTGTTTCTGTTCAGGAAGCCAGAAGTCCAAGGTCAAGACACCATTCAATTCACTTTCTGGTGAGGGCTCATTTCTGGTTTGTAGATGGGTCCCTCTCATGGTACTCAAACAACCTCTCTATGCTAGGGAAGAAAGGGCAGGAGAATGAGATCAGCCCCACACCTGATGACTTCATTTAACTTACCTCCATAAAGGTGGTATCTCTAATACAATCACATCACAAGTCGTGAATTTGAGTGAAGGGAAACACAGCCCATTCCATAACATGAGCTACAAAGTGCACAGCATAGGGCCTGGCTCAGAACATGGGAAAAATTATAGCGATCAGTGTTATGGTTCATATCTACTGTAGATTCCTACCACCACCACCAAAACATCGTGGCTCATAGGTGGGACTTTGGGGGTGGCTGAATCATGGGTTTGATACTGGATTACACGTATGTGACACAGGATTAGTCCACAGATTGTGGCTGATGGATTTGCTGAAGAGGGAAGCCCCATCCTGGGTGTGGATGGCACCAACCAATAGGCTTGTAGCTTGTCTAGCATAAAAGGGAAGCTTGCTGCTTCTTCATGGCCATGCTGTGAGCTCTTTTCTCTTCTGCTATGCCCCTCTGTCCTGCTGCCCTGCCTTGGAGCCCGCCTACTGTGGACTGAAATCTCTACACACTGCAAGCTAAGATCAACTCTCCTTCCTTTAACTTGTAGCTGTTGGGTGTGGTGTCTCACTGACAAGAAAAGCAATGAAAATAATTAGTAATGATTCTTACAGAAATTCTGTTGGAGAAACAAACTGTGACTCAATTTCTCCTACTGTATACTCACAACGCAGATCACTTCTGCCACCTCAGAAGACATGGGATTTTGCCCCACTAGCAAGCAAGCAGTTCTGCAGTGAACATCAGCAGGGTGTCCTCCACAGAGGAAAGTCACGGCCTCTTACTCTGTTTCCAAAGCTAAGTTGATTGGTTGACCCAGAATACCTTACCTGATTAGGAGGTCGGGTCCCCTTGAGGAAAGATGGCACACTGTTGCCACCACCATAAGTCTTCCTCAAGCCCTTTCCCAATAGGACCTGTGACCATGTACTATTATGACAGTGTGTTTCAGAAGAAAGAAACACCTACTTCTTTTGAGAATTATGACCAAAGAGGATGCTTATGGGGGCTGGGGAGATAGCTCAGAGGTCTAAGTACCTGCCTAGCAAGCACAAGGACCTGGGTTCAATCCCTGGTACCGCATGCTGTACCAGCTCACTACAAGTCCAAGCTGCATAACGAGATCCTGTACCAAATAAATAAAAGATTTATCTTAAAAAGTAGGGGCTTATGGTAGTCAGGTGACAGATGGAGCCTTAGCAAAGGTTCAATTTGCAATAGGACCAGCTGACCAATTGCAATTATATTCCCAATTTCCAAGTACATAAATTAGAATAAAATTACTTGACAACTGGAAGATTCCCTACACTGGCTTGCTAACCTATTCAGTGAGGCTCATTATGGTGAGAAGAGCTAACTAGAAACCCCTGAAACTTTCACTCCCTGCCAGCACGGTGATCTGACACCAAACTACATCTGCAGAGAAATTTCAGTGATTAAAAGATGCCAGGCATAGTGTGCACATTTGTAATCCCAACTACTCCAGAAGCTGGGACAGGAGGGCCAGAGGTTCAAGGCCATCCTGCGCAAATTAGTAGGATCCTGCCTCCACATAAAAGTTAAAAAGCCAAACATAGCAGTGCATGCCTATAATTCCAGTATTTGGGAGGCTGAGTCAGGACAATTGTTGCAAGTTCAAGACCAGACCAGGCTACAAAGTGAGCTTAAGGCCAGCCTAAACCATAGTGAAACCCTGTCTCAAAAAAATAAATAAAAATAAAAGAGATGATGTAACTCAGTGATAGAGAACCCCTGGGTTTGATCCCCCATACTGAAAAGAAAGAAAGATAGAAAAGAAAAAGAGAAAAGAAATAAGCAAGCAAGCACAGGTGTAGTTCCAATGACACCCCCATTGAACTCAGTCAGTAGACCTGTGCAGAAGCCAGATGGATCATCTTGAAGAATGATGAAAATTATAAACCAAATCAGATGTGACTCCAGTTACAGCAGTCAGATGTAGTATCTCTATTGGACACGGCATCATCCCCAAAGCCCAGTGAGGACATCTCAAATGCCATCTGCTGTGATTGGCCCAGCATGGTGGTGCGTACCTATAGTCTCAGCAGTCCAGAGGCACAGGCAAGACTATCACCACAAGTTCAAGCAAGCCTGGACTACATAGGAAAGCCTGAACTGCATAGTGAGGTCCTAGCTCAAAAGTAAATGAGGGGGGCCGGGGAGATGGCTCAGTGGAATAAGCGCTTCCCTGGCAAGCTCAAGGGCCTGAGTTTGATCCCCGGTTCCACCAAAAAAAAAAAAAAAAAAAAGCAAATGAGGGGCCAGGGAGATGGCTCAGTAGAATAAGTGCTTCCCTGGCAAGTGCAAGGGTCTGAGTTCAATCCCCAGTTCTGGGGGGTGAAAAAAAAAAAAGCAAATGAGTAGACTAAAGCATCTGCTTAGGCAGATCCTAGCGGCTGAGGTTTGATCCCCAGAATGCCATGCCGGCCCTGCCCCAGGGGCATGCTGAGAGAGCATGGTGGCGCATACCTGTAATCCCAGTGCTTGAGAGGCTGAAAACAGGAAAATCACTAGGAGTCTGATCTACATAGTGAAACTCTGCAGGCTTTGTAGACCCTATCCTAAATACAGAGAAAAAAGAAAAAAAAATGAAGAAAGGCCACCTGACGTCTCATACTTCTGCTATATTAGGCTAGTTAGGAGCAAATCATAAGACCCTCACACTCTGCTGGGCCTCCTGGGTGGGTGAAACCGAAAGAAGGAGAGGAGCTCAGGAAAGTAAAGCTCATTACATTCACGGATCCTAAAAAGATAGTCACTGAGTATTAAGGGGGTCGCCCAGGAGGAGGCCCGAGGAAGCTGGCCCCACCAAGCCTGCTGGCAACAGAGAATAGGCAAGAGCCTCCACTGCAGTCAGAGGAGGCTAACACGTGAGAAACCTCGCGAGAGATTTCACTGGTGACTTTGACTGCTATTGGTCACATCCAGGGGAGAACAGAAAGAGGAACTTGGTGCAGACCCAACTTATTACACTGGCGCACCTACTCACCTGGGCAACTGCTCACAGCACTTGTGACAGCAGGAAACTACCAAAACCCACTCAAGAGGAGGGAATTACACAAAAGGCTCTGCGCTAGGAGGCAGATGGGGGGAGGTCATTTTAAGGTCTGACTGACCAGCTTAACAGTCAACCTAAAGGGATTTTTTAAAGAATAGGCAAAGATGAGGTGCCTATGAGGGAGGAGGGCGCGATCCTCAAAAATGCTAGTGGAGAAAGAAAACATGAATTTTCCAAAAACAATAGGATTCTTTTCCCAGCTGGAAAAATGGCCTTTTAGGAGTTCCGTGTGAGTTTTGGGGGTGTTGGTGGAGGAAGGGAACTGGGGTCTGAATCCGGGGCCTTCACACTGAGCTACGACGTCTTCTTTTTATATCTTTGAGACAACATCTCACTAAGCCGCTAAATTTCCAGGCTTGCTTCCAACTTTCCATCTTCCTCTGCTGCCTCTCCTAGCGCTGGGATTACAGACGTGCACCACTCTCCCCACTTCCACCTTAATGCTGTACTGGCTCTAACCCTCAAAGTGGCTGCAGTGGTAATTGTACCCACGACCGCTAGGGGACGCTCCAGGTTTGCGCACAGCGCCTACACACCTGCCAGAGATGTTCTACACGCCCACAGCGTTTACGCACACGCCACAGTCCACGCACGCGCACATTCCTGAAACGCACGCTCAGGATTGTTTTTGTGGACCGACTCAGGTATCCGCGGAGTATAATCAGCCTCTGAGATGTCCCAGCTCAGCGGGGAAAACAGTGCCCCAGAAATGAGCGCAGTGAATGGCGACAGCGACGTCTTGCAGACGGGAGTAGGCGGCAGGAGGCGGGCGCAGGAGCCGCAGGAAGGCCCAGTGGTGGAAGCAGCCCGCCCCATGGCGAGGGTGCGGGGCTCGGTTCCCAGGCTGATGTCAGTGCCCAGCCTCCACGGGGAGCTGGGCCTCATAGGATTTAATCACCAGCGGTTAGTCCACCAGTACCTGAATAATTCCCCCATGATCCCAGTCAGGATACTCCGCGACATCGAGGAACGCCGCAGGCAGTTTGTGGAAGGCTGCAGGGCCAGAGAAGCAGCCTTTGATGCGAATCCCCCGGAGATGGACTCCGAGGCCGTAGCTTTCGCCCTCGCTGTGACTGCCGCGGAGGCCGGCAGTCCTCTGGCCGACTGAGTTGGCAATCAGGTGGGTGGCAAGGAGGTCAGGTGAAAAGGCGAAGACAGGCTTGCGCAGACCTAGTTAGTTGGTCGTTAGAGGGGAAATGCAAGCTTCGAAGAAAATACTGCAGTGCGCAGTGAAACGCGGAAACGGCCAGAAAAAGAAATCGAAGGGCACCCGAGACTGTTGGACGCTGCTTCCTAAGAGGTGCCAGGACACTTAGGACATCACTTTGTGAGTTAGGCATCCTTCAGCGTTTGTGGGAACTCTTAGAACAGTTTCATCATAAAGAATGGTTTTCCAAAGATACATAGTAAAAAAAAATGGCGAATGATAGAACCCGGAGAAAGTAACTAAGATGACCAAAGACATAAAGCAAATGCAGCTATTAGGAATCTGCTTGTGTCTCAGTTGTTAGGATTGCAAGGCTATTGTGAGAACCTGGGGATTTCAAAAGTTGTGATCATCGCATTGTCAATGGACAGCGCTTGTGTAAAATTAGTGTCCATGTTTCCTTAAAAAAAAAAAAACCTTCAGATGTATAGCACTCAAGAAAATATGTATTTATAATAAGTATATTTTTAAGACCATATGAAATTGGGCAGGTGTGGTAATAGATTAATAGATTAGTTTTTGTTATGGTTTAAACTTTTTATTTTATTCCAGACTGTGTTGGAGGCACAGAAAGGAAGTGTTATGGCTTGTGTTTAGCTATCCCCCCAAAAGCCTCGTGTGATCATAGGTGGGGTGTTTTCAGAGGTGGCTGGATCTAGATGTGATTGATTCATGCATGGTACAGTGCTAGGAATATTCATGCATGGTACAGTGCTAGGAATAGGTATGAGTAATACTAAACTGTCCCCTGATTGGCTTGGCATCACCCTGATCCCGGTAGCCTGGATACAATACAAGGGACAGAAAGAAACTTGCCCCGCTCCCTGCTCACTTGCTTTGCTACCTTCTACCTGCCACGAACTGTTGCTCCTCTGAGAGGCCCCTCTGTCGGGGAGCCAGCTGATCATGGACTGAGACCTCTGCAAAACCAGCTAAATATACCTTTCCCCCTTCAACTTTGAGTGGTGGGTATTTTGTCTCAGCAATGAGGAAAAAAAAGTAACTAAGAATTCGGTACCAGAGAAGTAGGGTCATTGCTATGACTGTATCTGCCCATTTGGTTTATGAGCCTTTGGAGCTGGCTTGTGGGAAGAGGAAAGGTTAGAAAGGTTTGAAGATGCAGGCTGAAAAAGTAGAGCTGGCATGACTTAGGGTGCACTGGATGGGAGATTCCGGCCAGAGTCTAGAAGACTGGAATGCTGACAAAAAAAATAATGGCAGTAAAGACCAGGCTCAGGAGGAGGTTTGTGTGGGAAAGGACCACATTGGCTCTCGGACTCCAGGCGATGTGGGTTATGGCTTGGTAGAAAGTTTGTCAAGCAAAGCGGCCAGAGATTTTGCCCTAGACTTAGATTAAGGGTGGCAGACTAATTAATCTTAGCAGAAGTTTGTTTTGTTTTATTTTACTTTATTTTGTTTTGTTGGCAGAACCAGAGATTGAACTCAGGCCCTTGCGCTTGCCAGGGAAGCACTTATTCTACTGAGCCATCTCCCCAGCCTTAGCAGAAGTTTTAAGACAGTCGAATGTGAGGGCAGTGCCACAGCTACTGTTGAGGCTTGCAAATCAGATTTATGTTGAACCAAGAGCAAAGAGCCTCGCAGAATGACTTACACCCTTTTAAGTGTGGCCAGAAAGGAAGCTCCAGTAGAGTTTGATCCTGCAAAAAGGGAAGAAAGGAGAAACCGGTCACTGAAAAGACTAGAGATAGCTAAGTATTTCACAAGACAACAAAAAAGATAGCCTGAGGACATTACAAGAAACAGCAGGGCTGCAACCTTCCTAACTTCAGAGTTGCAAAGGTAAAAGACAATGCTTTGAGGAAAAAAAGAGTCCCAGAGCACTGTTCCAGGATGGCAGTGGCCTAGGGAAGTTGTTCCTTGGGATTTGGTTCATGGGCACTGGACCCCTACAGCCAAGAGAGAAGGAAGCCTGGCTACCACCCCAGCTGGCTGCAGACCATGACATTATCCACATGGTACTGGTCTTAGGTGCAGGGGGGTGCAAGAGTTGTTAAGTGAGGAAAGCTTCCACCCAGATCTCACAGAAAGTCCTGGGAGGAGCCAGGGAGATGGCTCAGTGGAATAAGCACTTCCCTGGCAAGTGCAAGGGCCTGAGTTCAATCCCCAGTTCCGCCAAAAACGACCTGGGAGGCCAGGCACTGTGCCCCTGAGAGGCCAGTGTGTGAAGTGCAGTAGAGACCCCAGAAATTTGGAGAAGCCAGGAACGCAGATTGTCTAAAGGAAAACTGCAAGGAAGGAGCAGAGCCAGCCCAGGAGAGAAGATGCAGGAGCTTCAGCCACCAGCAGTGCTGTACAGGTGGAGCCACGTGCGGCCTTGGAGCGCACACCTTGCCCACATGGAACTGCAGGACTTACCATTAGCCCTGCTGGATTTTGGACTTACTTTGGTCCCATTCCTTTGTATCCCCCGTACATAACTTTTGGAATGGAAATGTCTTTCTTGTGCCATTGAATGTTGGAAATGTTTACTTTTCATTTGTACAGGGGCTCAAAGCTACAAGTTTGCCTTACGTCTCAGAGGACTTGAGACGTGGACCTTTCAGCAATGCTGAAACTATACTTTGGCAACTCTTAGAGCTAGGCTAAATGCCCTTTGCATAGAGGGATGTGCATGAGCCAGGGGAGCCAGGGGCAGATGTTATGGCTTGTGTCTAGAAGTCCTCCAAAGCCTCATGTGTCATAGGTGTGTAAATGGTGCAACGCTAGCACTAAAGGTATAGATTTACTCAATCAGTCTACTGATAGAGAGAGGCTTATCTTGCCCCTTGCTTGCTTACTCCACTGCCGTCCGCCTGCCATGGGCTGTTTCTCCTCTGGGATGCCCCTCTGCCATGTCACCCAGCAGAGTATGGCCTGAAGCCTACAAACTGAGCTACATAAACCTTTCCCTCTTTAATTATGAGTGCTGGGTATTTTGTATCAGCAAGGAGATAAAAGTAAGACACAAGTATCAAAAACTGTACTGCGAGAAGTCAACCTCCTGTTCCTCTCCTGTCTGCTGACTTGAAAACTGTTCAGATAGTTACCTTTGTCAGTGGTTTGATATTTGCTTTCTTTTCTTTTTCTTTTTAACTGAACAACTTCCAGCAGTTTCTTAATACATATACAAATTAAAATCAACCTAGAGGGCTGGTCAAATAGCCAAGGGCTAGGGAGATGGCTCAGTGGAATAAGCGCTTCCCTGGCAAGCACAAGGGCCTGAGTTCAATCCCAGGTTCCGGAAAAAAAAAAAAAAAAAAAAAAAAAAAAAAAAAAAAGCTCAGCTGATTAAAATGCCTGCAAGCAGGTGCAGGGGCCAGGGGTTTGATCCCTGGGCCTGCAGTGCCAGCCCCACCCCCACCCCCCAGGGCCTGCAGAGAAGGCGATTGAGACTGGACATGGTGGCGCATGCCTGTATTCCCAGCTCTTGGAAGGCTGTAAACAGGAGAGTCACTACAAGTCGGATCAAGTAGTGAAACCCTGAACGCCCTGTAGACTCTTCCCTAAAAAACAAAAAAATAAATAGGGGCCAGGGAGATAGCTCAGTGGCAAACGCTTCCCTGGCAAGCGCAAGGGCCTGAGTTCAATCCCTGGTTCCGAAAAATAAATAAATTAAATTAAATAAACCTAAATATTATGGTTTTTTTCCCTTTTTAAATCAAGGTAACATAAACCGGGCATAGTGATGCAGTCCTGTAATCCCAGTACTGTGCTCGCTTCGGCAGCACATATACTAAAATTGTAATCCCAGTACTCCAGGAGGCTGAGGCAAGAGGATCGTTGCCAGTCTGAGACCAGCCTGGGGTACAAAGTGAGCTCAAGACCAGCCTGGGGCCAGCCAAGATAGCTCAGCAGATTAAAGTGCCTGTTTAAGCAAATGCAGGGACCAGAGTTCGATCCCTGGCCTGCCGTGCTGGCCCCAACCCCACGCTGAGATGAGATTGAGACTGGGTATGGTGGTGCAAAAAAGACCAGCCTAGGGCTGGGGAAATAGCTCAGTAGCTTGGCAAGCGCAAGGGCTTGACTTCAATCCCCAGTTGTGCGAAAAGGGATGAGACTGAAATGCATAGAGACCCTGTCTCAAAAAAAAAAAAAAAAAAAGTGCAAGGCTGTATTGTAGTATAATAAAGTAGTGATATTTTCTTTTTTTTATTTATTTATTTATTTATTTATTTGTGTGTGGCCAGCTCAGCCCACCAGGGGGCGGGGCTGGCTGGCATGTGGTGCTGGGGGATTGAACCGTGGTCCCTGTGCTTTGCTAAGCTTATTCTGAGTAGGTGCTTTAGACCACTGGGCCATCTCACCAGCCCAATAAAGTAGTGATATTTTCAGTGTTTACAAAATATTTTAGTATTTCCTGTGAAAGCACCTGCAATCCCCACCCCTACCCCCAGGGCATGCTGAGACAGCAGTTGAGACTGGGTGTGGTGGTCCATGCCTGTAGTCCCAGCTCTTGGGAGGCTGTAAACAGGTGGATCACTACAGATCTATGTGCTTATTCACAGAGCAGATGTCTAAGTAGCAGCTCCAGGTTAAAAGGCAAATGCACTGGTGTTTGTAATAGGTATTACTAGAGAGCTTTGCCCACAGTTCTGCCACACAGTGCCCCACAGCCTGGCCAGTCAGACTTTGGAGAATCAGTGAAACATCATTGCTGTTGTTCTAAATTTGTGTTTCTCCTAAAGAAGGACATACATTTAACTATTTTTGCATATATATATATAAATATAAATATATATAAATATATATTTATATTTATATATATATATAAATATATTTTTTTTTCCAGGCGCACCTTGTGTAGTCCAGGCCAGCCTTCAGTTCACTATGTAGCCCAGCAATCCTCTTTCCCCAGTCATGAAAGAAGTTAGCCCTTTGTGATGTTTCTGTTGTCATGTGTGTTTGTTGGTTGCTTAGTTTGTTGGGGCGCAGTCTCCCTATGCAGTGCAGGCTGGCCTTGAGCTTACTTTGTAGCCCAGGCTGGTCTCCAATTCACAAGGATCCTCCTGCCTCAGCCTTCCAGAGTGCTGAGAGTTCCAGCACGTGCCACACCCCAGCTGTTTGTTTTTGAACCTCTTGCTGCCCCCCCCACCCAACGCATTTTTAAAGTTTCCTTTATGTAGGTATTCCAAGGGAGGCCGGGGCTATGGCTCTGTGGCACAGTGCCTGCCTGGCAAGCCCGAGGTCCTGAGTTCGACTTCGGGTACCAG